CCCAAAGAAAACAAGAAGAAATGTACACGTGTCTATAGAGGCCTCTTATTAAAGACACAGGCATTATTCTATTGTTGGGGGAGGAATCCATTCTATTATCAGATTTCCAATAGGTCTATTCATCTTTCAGGATGGGGGGCTGCCTACTGCATGACCAACAGGACAGAATTTGTAAAGATACTAATTTTCTCTAAAATCTTTTAAGCATCAATAAAAAAGCTATTATTTCATGCTAGCACCCTCCCCACAAACTGGATTCAAAATGCTGCTAATCCATTTTCAAAATAAAATGAAACAGCACTGCTTCCTCCCCCCCTTTTCTTTCTTACCATAAATGAGCAGTTTCTGGACTCATTAATGACAGTTTCCCTTAAAAGAAGTGATCTCATAATACTGTGTCCCTCACCACCATGCATACATCCTAAAGATTGCGGGTATCTTAACATCAGGAACCGCCAGCAAGCTTTCTCATACACAGCCCAGATGGACTATACTTGAAGCCAATTCAGCGTTAATAACTACCTACTCTGTGCCTTACGTGGTATAATGTCCTAGGCAACAGCAGCTGATTAAAACCACAAATAAAAGACAATCCTGCTATCCAAAATGATTGAAAGGACTATCCTTAAAAATAAAGCGAAGGATGATATCTATTTTTTTGTTCTTTTCTTTTAAATTTCAGTTTGAGGATGAAATCCTTTCTAAGCAAATGGAGAAGAAGGAAAAAGAAAAGAAAAACAAAATACTGCCCAGAAGATGTGACAAAATATTACCTCATTATTTAACAAAGCAGCACTAAGCGTCCTGGTGATTTCAAACATCTTGCCACAGATTTTGATTTTAGAGGAACAGAAAAAGAATCCTTTGCAAGTCCAGTCCTCTATCTGCACAGAGGATGTCAATTTTCTTGCACAAAACAATGTTTTCTCCCTGGAGTTACCACATTAAAACATCTAGTCAGTGAGCTGCATTTTTCCTCTTAGCATACGGAATAGACTCTCTCCTGTAACATGTACTGCTCTCTTTGCTAGAATAGCCTGCTGCCCCAAACATGTTACTTAAACTATTCTTTAAAGTAACAGTTCACTCTCTAACCACCAGGTGGGCGGTGTGGAATGATTCAAAATGAACATCTTGAGACTGCTGTTGAATAGGATAAAGCTGTGATTCTTCAGACGCACAAAAAAGTAAGTGTTGTTAGAAATGAAGAAGTGGCATGCAATCTTTTACTTCTTACTTTGTTAAAATATAATCATGCCCTTCTTAAAAAGTACATATTTTTTTTAAAAAATAGAATACAGTCATATCCATGCTTACCTTGAAGTAAGCCCTATTGAATTCAACAAGGTTTACTACTGAGCAGGCATGCAAAACGTTATTCCACACGGATACCCGATTATTTTTTAGTGCTACTTTAAAATTCTTACTTAGCGTTTATGGTCATGGACTAAACTGAAGCTGAAGGCAAAATGGTTAATTTAACCATTTAATCATTATTAATCATCATTGATTTAAGACTCAGATAAAATTTGGTTGTCATTTTTTCTATATACTTTGTGATCCCAAACAAGAAATCTTTCCAGATTGTAGCAGCTGGCAGAAAAGAATACCTCTGTGTGGAATAGCAAGGCCATATTAGAGTATAAACATAGTGCAAAAAACTAGAGAAATTGTATATTAGCATCACTACTAATAAATGCTGTATTACTTCACTGTTAAATTGTTATTAAGCATGGCATTTCACAAAATATAAGGTCCCTGCCTCAAGGAGCTTGAAATGTTTGATAGGGTGGCAGCAATAAAGGAAGGGGGGGGATTTTAAAAAAAATGTATCCTTAGTAGGAAATGGGAAAGGCTTCAAGGAAGTGGTGTGCAAAATTTAAGATACTTGAAAAGGGCATTTTAAATGTTCTAAATTTGGGGGGGGGGGCACTTTGTTTATCCCCCAACTCAGAACAAAACAGTGGCAGTTTGTTCTTTTCTATATGAGTTTTTCTTCATCCAATCAACCTGTGCTCTTTCAAATTCCTTCAATCCAGGCATGTCAAACTCGCAACGTATCACAACTTTTTCCCCCATTGCTGGAAATGGGGTGGGCGCGGTTTCGACGTGACGCATTCTGCCTGCGGGCCGGCAGTTTGACATGCCTGCTCCAAGCCATGGACATTTGAAGAATCAGTAATGAGTAAAATTGAAGGCACAGGTGCCTTCCAGTAACGCTATTCTACTTTTTTTTTTTTGCTTAAATTGGTTGCAAAAGCATGCACTATTCAATGCGTGCACTTTACAAATATGTTGTTCCAGCCTGCAAAGGTAGAAATTATGCTGGCTTGCTATTGAGCTTTGTGGGCATGGTAATATGTATTTGGAACTATTTGGAACTATTACATTTCCTAACTTCAATTTTAGTAAATTAAATTTATTAAATTTATTAACAGTGAGAACAAGTAACCAGTGGAATGGCTTGCCTTCAGAAGTTGTGGGTACTCCATCACTGAAGGTTTTTAAGAAGAGACTGGAACAGCCATTTGTCTAGAATAGTAGAGGGTCTCTTGCTTGAGCAGACAGTTGGACTGGAAGACCTCCACAGTCTCTTCCAATTCTGCTATTCTATTATGCCATTAATAGGCTATGCTGAAATGAATCCACCAATGAACAAGCAAATCAGTCACACTTCCTTGCAGTAATCAGATTGCAAAAAACATGTTCTTGACAGTCCATTATTTATGGAAATTTTAGTTAGTTTGTTTTTTAATTAGGAATATTTTGCTTCCTCTGTAGATTGTACATTCTCTGCATACTGACTCTTTTGCTCCTAATATTAAAAATAAAGTACTTTGGGCCCTGTTCTCATCTAGTACAATATTTCTATTTTATGCACACCTTATGTCAGTGGTGACGAACCTATGGCACGGGTACCAGAGGCGGCATTTGGAGCCCTCTCTGTGGGCAGACGTGCCGTTGCCCCAGCCCCACCTCCCCCACGACCCCCTCCTCTCCAGCAGTCCCCCTGAAGGAGAGTTGCCCCTGAGCGTGGCCCATGCGGAACAGCGCAGCCAAGGACATGGCAGCCAGGCAGCGTAGAAAACTCTGCCCTCACACCCCATTGGACACAGCTGATACTGCAGGGCGCGGGCAGAGGCCGTGTGCCATAGCGCTGCTGGGCTGCCTGGGTGATGTGCGGCGGGCCCTGGAGGCAATGTGGCCCTGCGGGCAGGGGATGGGGGGCGGAGCAGGGGCGGGGCCAGTTTTTTGGCACTCGGTCTCTAAAAGGTTCGCCATCACTGCCTTATGTCAAAGAAAAAAATTAAAAGATATCAGAGTCTTGATATGTATTCTGTACAATTGAAAAGTTATATATTAACACCAATGCACTATCTATAGTAAGACCTTTTATACCACCAAATAATTTCCGAATCTAGGGGTGTGGGTAACTTCTTTGAGGACAGTAATACAGCTTGTTTTCTTTCAGTTTCATTTTCCATATTTTTTTAATGTGGGGGATAAAGAGAAATATATTCTAGTTTGTAAAAAAAGGGAGGGGGAGAAAAACTACATATATGAAAATTTATGTTTTCTCAGGTTATATTTGAGTGATATGGTCTACTCCAGTGATGGCGAACCTTTTAGAGACCGAGTGTCCAAAACCCGCCCTCGCCCCCACTTGCTCTGCCCCTGCCTGCCCCCTACTCCGCCCACCCAAAGGGCCATGCACTGCCTCAATGGCTCGCCATAGCAGATCACCTAGGCAGCCCTGCAGCACCATGGCAGCCACGCCCTCCGCCCACACCCCGCAACATCATCTGCATACTATGGAGCGCGAGGGCGGAGTCTTGTTCCTGCTGCCCAGCTATGTCCTTGTCTGTGCTGCTCCATGCAGGCCACAGACAGGGCGACTCTCTCCAGGGAGGCTGCTGGAGAGGAGGGGACCGCAGGGGGAGGCGGGGCTGGGGCGATGGCGCACGTGCCCACAGAGAGGGCTCTAGTGCCGCCTCTGGCATGCGTGCCATAGGTTCACCACCACTGGTCTACTCCATAGGCTTTCAGTATTGGTAAAAAAAGTGGTGATGGTAGCTACATATGGTCTGAAAGTTTTCCAAGCATCATTGTGGGGTTAATAGAATTGGGTCTCTAACTGGAATCTGAGATACTGATTTATTTGATTAAGTGCCATCAAGTTGCAATTCACTCTTATGTTTCATTTTTCCTTAGGCAGCTTGTATCACATTAAAAAAAATCAACCAAATAACGTATCAAATTTTAATCAGAAGCAGGCATATGGTTTGTAATTCTCAGTTACGATACACTGATATAGTTTCAGCTCTCCTTTTTTGCAATGGTAATAGTTTCTATTCCAATTCAGTAGATATCTACTGCAATACAGCACTGAAGTAGAGTATGCAAAATCATTATGTAAATGCTGCACATTAATCAAATGCAAATTAATTAGAGAGATTTTAAAAATAGTTTGAAACTATATTACCTGCATCTAAGTATGATTATTGAAAACAAGGGCAAACTTACAAAAGGAACCTTAGAAGTTCAAGTAATTAAATCCCTTTAAGTTTGTTTTTATTTTTCAGTTTTTAATCATAAGCAATCAAAGTCACTTAAATATCTGATCATATACTGGGTTGTTTAAATGTGATTGATGTTACAACTGATTGGGTTTGCACCACAAGCTAAGTCATAAATCATAGTTTACAAATCACAATGATTGGGTTCACAGAACAAGTTAAAGCAAAATAAAGCAAGTCATACAATTACTGTTTGCCATATGTGAATACATTTCAATGGTCTTAAAAATTCTAAGACAGTAAGACCTCTTTCATGTTTATGTATCAAAGTCTCTTACACTTCATGCTGTCAAAGGCAGATTTTCTTCCACAAAGCTAAATCAACTTAGAACTACAATTAATTCAAATCTGCTAAATTACAGCAGTGTTTCTCTTTCTCTTATTAGATGGGCTCAGTTTCTGCTTGGTTTCTTCTGTTCTTACCTTTCCTTTGCTCTGCTACTTTTCCTTCTGACACATTATGGTTCCTTATTGAGAACTGGTTCAATGTCACTGTGTCAAACTCAACCATCTGAGCTGTTCAATTGCTATTACTTTAATAATTATTTGCAAAATATCTCACATGTACCTAACATTTATGTATCTATGGAGATTTTCAGTCATCCGGGTTACGGTTGTCCCACAGGTGCTTTTTCAGGAGGCAACTGGACTTTCTTGTTTTTCTTTGAAGAGGATTCACTTCTCATCCAGGAAGCTTCTTCAGCTCTGAGCTGACAAAGCTTCCTGGATGAGAAGTGAAATGTCTTCAAAGAAAAACAACAAAGTCCAACTGTCTCCTGAAAAAGCACCTTTAGGGCTAACATTTATGTATTCTGTATTCAATCAGTATAGTATCTGGATTCAGAAAATTTCTGATATGATTTCAAGTAGGACAGTTACCATTCAGTGCACACAGCTAATATTAACAGGCCACTCCTCCAAATTAATTTTAAGATCATACTCTTATGATACCATCTCAAGGCAATAAGATTTATAAATTTGTAAATCTTATTTATAAATGAGAGATTATCAGTTTCTCCAATTAATTCGAGTGAAGGCTTAAGACCTTATTATTTGAATGGCAAAGAACAAAAAAAAGTCTACTTTGAAAACAAGAGCAGTAGATAGTTCAATAAAATTTGAAGGCTGCAGAAATGGACCCAAAGAGATACCTATTTCTGGTTTTTTTATTCAGTGACTCTGGGTGATTCACCTGGAAGTCCTCATTACCTGTGTTAATTTCATTTCCCTGAATCGTTTGATGAAATATGCAAATTTAACCATGATATTTCTTATCACTGGTTCCACAGGTAATCCTCGAGTTACAACAACTGAGCCCAAACTTTATGTTGCTAGCTGAAACTTTTGTTAAGTGAGTTTGCCCCATTTTACGACTTTTCTTGCCACAGTTGTTAAGTGAATCATTGCATTTGTTAATTTAGTAACATGGTTATAAAATGAATCTGCCTTCCCCATTGACTTTGGTTATCAGAAGACCACAAAAGGGGATCACATGACCCAGGACACTGCAACTCTCATAAATATGAATCAATTGCCAAGAATCTGAATTTTGATTACATGACCAGAAACTTGCTGACTAGTTTCTATTGCTATGAACTTTATTTAGTTCTTATCTATGTGTCTTCTCTTACCTGTACACTGTTTAATGTTAATCAGGAATATTTGATGAATTTTTTAAACAAAAAACTTCCAAATTCCCAAATAATGATAGTTTGATGATAAAAAGACAGCTCTACTACTACAGTTTCACTTGAATCAGAATCTCATTTGAGTTGACAATGATCTGCATTTACTGAAATAAAAGTAAGATCCCAATGGTCCATTTGTTTTATAAACTATATACTTATTACTATGACTAGTCCCATTTAAAATAAACCTGCATCAGCCTTTTCATTCACAGGAATAAATAAATATCCCTTTCTTCAACTGTGTATTTATCTTCAATAACAAACTTTGAATGTATACATTAAAAACACAACACTGCTGCTGGAATGCAATTATGAAAAAAGGTCTCCATTTTCCTGCTTGTTAACAGAACTGCTCTGTAATATATCTAACACAGTGTGGAAGTAGGCACACTGAAATCACATATTTAAGAAAACGAATTGAAAGGACATCATAGCCAAACAATAACAACCCACTGATGTGCCACCATATGGCATACTACACAGTGGAACATGACTGAAACAGATTTCTGTCAAAAGAGCAGTATTCTCATTTTTAACATACAGTGAAAACTGATTTTGTTGGATCTTGATGGAATTAGTGTGGGATTGACCAAATTTCCCTTTATATCGTTCACAACAATTTAATGCATGCCATTTGTATATGATATCATGCAAATTACACAAATTAATGTATTTTCTCTTTTTGTGTGAGGTTACATAAATTTTGTAATGCCATACTCTGACAATCTCAGTAGCAAATACTCTTCTCCTACTTGATCCATTAAAGTGAGATTCCCCTCTATTATAAGCTGTCTTTTGGTCTCAGACTAAAAATAATCTTTTCCAGAGTTGTTAATCAGCTGGCAATGAATAGTCCCAAGCAGAGTGCAAATGCCACAGCAGCATCTCATTTGAGTTCCCCAGCCTCTGATCCTGAAGTTAATCATAATTAACAATCATAGACAGCCTTATCCTCCATGAATTTAAGCAATCCAAATAAATGGTTATTACTGTATCTTCTGAAGAGAATTCAACTCTTTTTCTGTCTGTCCTGAAGATCTTATTTGTACCAGTGATCAAATAACTGGTCACCAAAAGGTTATCTTGAGGTAAAATCAAATAATACGCTCAGATGAGTGCTACAATTATAAAGTTTTTTTAGCATGTAATACTTGATATATTGCTACTTTAAAACACATGAAATTGTCATGGAAATAACCATGCAATGAACTGATATGCTTTCATTCAAGCTACAGAGAAATTATCAAGGAAGAAATTTTTATAAAGTTTTAAAAATTCCCACAAAAAATAAAAGAAGCAAGTGAACACAATTTTGCCAGCATGGCCGGCTTGCAGAAATAATCAGATAACTGAACCAAAAGAAATGATGGATACAATTCAATAACAGAGGCTACAAATGGCATAAGAACAGCAAATATAAACTTCTCTACCCACTGGCATGAGTCCTTTTTTCCCTAATGCATATTATTGTCAACAAACAACTTTTGTGTTGTTGTTTCAGCAAAAAGCTAAAGTATAATTTTTGATGTTGGAAAGCACTTGCAAAAAAAAAAAAAAGAGCCTATACTGATAATTCGTATATATACAGTAACTTTTCCATTTGTCAAATTGCTTGCAAAGCAGCTCTTAACAAACTGCTAATTTTATGGCAATCTCCTGAAAAAGAAAGCATCACCCATACAAGAATGGTGCTTGAACCTCCATAAAAGTCTGGGTTTCCCCATGACAGAAGTGTAGTGTTACCTCCTCAGAGGCCGCCAAAAACCAGGCCCTCCCAGCCCCGTCCCCCTTTGTCAAGTCCTGCAGTAGTGTTCCCTAGAGGTTGATGTCTCTTCCAGCTGGAGCTCATGCAGAATTAGGAGGTAGCAGGCTCTTATTGTCAAGGAGGGGCTTTCAGGAATGAAAATAACCAGCCACGATAGTCAATGCTATGATGATATCCAACAGCCCAAGGCCATTATAGCAGCAGGAATAAAGGATTCCTCAGCGATCGTTCAGAGTTAAGTGGGATGGAGGAAACCCCAGCTCCAGACGGTAGTAGGAACAACAACAGTGTGCTGTAGCAATAGCTCGCTCCCCAAGGCAACTCCCTCCACAAAGTCTAAAGCCTGTACCAGCAGCAATAGTCACAGTCCAAATAGCTTCCAGGCTTCGCAGCAACAGTAGCCACCACCAGTCTCTCCTCTCCTGTTGCTTCTTCTCAGTCAGGTCTTGGCATCAGAGCTCTCCCCCCCCCTTTATCTGTATTGTTAAAATCCGAGGCTAGGAGCCTCAGCCAACTCCTTTCTACCCACTCCCCCTTGCCTCCGTTTAAGATATCCTCCTTACGAAGAAAGCAATAAAACTCCACTCTCTCTCTCTCCTTTGTTTGAGATATCCTCCTTACGAAGGAAAGCAATAAAATTCCACTCCCCCTCTCTCTAGCCTCTGTTTAAAATATCCTCCTTACAAAGAAAAGTAAATAAAACTTCCACTCCCTCTTTACTTTCACCTGACGAACTGCAACAGCTACCCCGTCCCTTTCCTTTCCTATCTTTTTCTTTCACCCACACCAGCCACACCCAAAGCCAGCAGCAGCTGTCCCAATCTCTCCCTTCCCAACCAAGCTCCTGCAAACACTCTCAGACAGCCCCGCTATAGAAGCAAAACAAAAACACTTTTGCAAGAACAATGTTATATTTACAGGCATTTTATTCTGACAATTACAGCAGGTTTTAAGGAGTTTTCAATTATTTTCCTTTATTTTGTGTGCTATCTAGTATCTTTCTACAACAGATCAGGAATATGTAACCTTCCAGCTAAAAAGTACTATCAAATACAATGTACTATAATTTAAGCAGTTTTATTTCCCTATATAGAACTTAAAACCACCAAACTTCACTATGTGACAGAGAAAAAATACTGAAAAGTTCCTATTTATCTCTTTATGCTGAAAAACTCATATAAAATAAGGCTCATACATATAAACTGAGGATATGGCTAGAATGATTTTTTTTAATGAAATGCCCGTGAAGGATGAATTCTTGGAATAATACTATCATATCAGATGGGAAATTGTTCCATAATTTTTTTTGACAAACATTTTTCAGGATCCTTTACATAGTTAAAATAGCAAAGTATGATTTAATTGTTTAACATTTAAAGAGGGGGTGGAGTGGGGACAGGGCCAGTTTTTGGGCACTTGGTCTCTAAAAGGTTCGCCATCACTACTCTAGCGTTTAAGATAATTAGCATCTTTACCTATAGAAAATCAGAAACCAACTGCAAAATTCAGCAATATTATATGCTAACTTCCTTTGAACAAGCACATTACTGAAGTAGATTTATGTTTTTTTCTGACAATGTTCCTCATATTTTACAAGATTTCTTCAAAACAAGCACTCTCTTAATAGTATCAAGGCATGCTTTGTTACCTTTGTCTAGAGACATCCTGTTCTACTCAGATAAAATTAATTGTTCCTCTGACATTGAACAGTAAGAGATTTTTAAACTCATCTAATAAACTAGAAGTGCTTTATTTTTAGCATTGTTTCAGAAAGTGTAACACCAGAAGACCTATTATCCCATTGCACTAGGTTAAAAAGCCATTTTTATTTTTGAAGTGTCTTCAAATTGGTAACAGTGCCAGTCAGAGTTCTACATAATAAAGGGATATTTTAAAACAGAATTGAATAAGCTTTAAATAATGTTTAATATTGTGATTGAATCAAAATTCAATTTTATAGCTCCTAAATACATTTCCAAAGCAAAATGCCAGCTAAAAAAGCAACAAAAAACTGGAGAAAGCTGTTCAAAATACTCCCATGTTTATTGCCAATGTACTCTCTCCATCCAAACTAGTCGTTTAAGTCAGTAGTCTATTCTCATTGAGCGCATTCAATCCTTGAAGGTCTTTTTTTAAATAAATAATTGTATACATCTATAATCCCTGAAAATCCCCTAATACTTCATCTTTTGGGTGTGGATGATACAATTTTGGCTACAGGTATACCAAGAACTGAGTTAGCTTTTACATAATAATTGGAAATAAATAAATGGATACATATTAAAATGGTACAGATGACATACTGTAATTCATATATTTTTATATTAAAGATTAAACGAAGCCCAATGCAAAGAGGCACAGGTCTAATGGGTTTCTTAAATATTTTAAGACCTCAGAACATCAAATAACCTATATTTAGATAAATGAGAAATATATATTGAAATAAAGCATGTTTTAATAATATTCCCAATTTATCTCATATTTAATATAGCGATAAGTCTTTGTGGGATCTTTGCGGTTTACATGGGTCAGCATAAGTTATCAAAGTCTGGAGTGAGATTTGTTACAAGAAGTCTTAGAATAAAGTTCAACTGATTGTTGTAACGAACTGTAATAATATACTTTTCACAAAGATATATCAAAGGAAAAGTATGACTGTCAATACCTTTGCAGCTAACGTCTTAGACGAGATGTGCCAAACATTCTCTACACAGGCCATCTCATGTATGGGACTGTCTGTCTCAAGCAGTCTGTGACTGGACCAAAGCAACTGGATGTTTGGCCAGGCACAGATGAAGACCCTGGGGCAGTGGTATCCCAAGATGGCAGACATTAGGTACAGGCCAGGGAAGCAGCACTAGTGTGCAACAGTGAAAAGAAAATAAAGAGTTGGGGGTGGGGCAGTGAAGGAAGGGCAGCAAAA